AAATAGAATGTTAAACTAAAATATAAGATGGTAGGGTCAAATAGTTCAAACAAAGAAAAAATCATTACTTTAATATGATTTCTTTGTTTGTAGGGATATGATCAAACTTTGGTGATGCAAACTTCTTCAGTAGTGGTAATTCGTCTTCAGTTCTTCCAGCTGGTGAAGCAGACCTTTTCCTTTTGTGGTCAACAGTAATAGAATTTTCTGATAGTTGATTCTTACCATTGTTGTTGCCCTGAAAACTCATTTTTGTTACTTTTTCTTCGGTGAAACTCTGTTTTTGGTCTTCAGAATTATATAGGCTAGGAATAAATAGTAGTTATCATTTCAAATTTGAAATAGAAGAAGTTAATTTCATTACTGACCTACTTCATTAAGTAGTTTTATTTTAACATGGAGTATTGGATGAAATTAGTACTAATTACAGAACTTTTAAAAATAGCTTATAACAGTTTAAACTCTGTTTTATATGTTTATTAATTAGTTCTCAGTTTACTTTTATATATTTCACCTGTTTTTGTTAATCTCTTGAGCCTTTCAGTTCTAAAGATGAGTAATATGGTGCAGGATAAGCTACCATTTGGTTTCTTAACTTATGTTTTCAAAGATTGAATGAAAGTTGAATGACATGCATGTATATTCATATGCTTCTAATGATGATTCATGTTATAAACAGACTGTGTTATGCATAATCTTGTACATATATATCTAGGAAAGTGTTATGATGTTGTATATTTAATTATCTATGCTTATGCTAACCGTCATGACTTGGTTCTACTCTACAATTAATAAGAACAAAAGGACATTAATTTATTTTTACCGTCTTTTTGGCCCAATACTTTCTGTCCTTTCTATTTTTCTTCTCCCTCTTTATCTTCTCTTCTTCCTCAGACAGTGGCGGTCCCGGCAGACGTCGCCTGTTTCCTGCTGCTTCACCGGCTCCAGTCCTTTTCTCCTTTCCACCCTCTGCCATTAATTCTTCCTGTGACAGAGACGATATAAGGAAATTACTAACTAGGGTTACCTGATTTCATTTCCAATCATAAAAATTCAATACAATACAATACAATACAATACAGTAGGATAATAGAAGAAATGACACCTCACATACCTGAATCTTCATCAAGATAAATATGAAAAGATGGACAAATGAAAAGGCTTCTTCGCCTCAACCTGAACAATTTGATCTGAAACAAAATATTTCCATCTAACTGCTTCATATATATAGAAGTAATTCTTAGATCGCGAGACATCTCGAGATCGATCGCTAGCTAAATAACACTCGCACGACACCCTCCCACTCCCCCCTCCGACTGAAGCAGTATTGACTGTCGAGACGAACGCCATAGTACTTTCCTACTCATATATATTTAATTAATT